GGGACGGACCGAGAGTTTGATGTAGCCTGTGTCTATAGATGAAGGCAATGTGCTAGATGCGAAAGTGAGTATAAATGTTCGGTAGGTATTTCTTTGTTGTCGCGTCTGATGCCGATTCGTTTCACATCCGTGACATTTTGCTCTTTCCACTCTTCAAGCAGTTCCTGTTCAGACATTTCAAGAAGGTCTGCTTCTCAAACAACTCCGCGTGAGGTGTTCATTGATCTATGAGGTGAAACAGATACTGGGATATTACCAAATGCTACGAGACTGCCAAGTTTTTCATAGTGATGTTTTTCAGGCAGCTCAAGGAGAAGGTCTCCGCTAGCCGTCTTTGTAACCTTGTATCCTGGGCCAAAGACCTCAGTCAGAGATTTGGCAAAAAGAAATGGAGATATGGCCATGGCTTGTTTTGTTGGATTTTCGCTGGGCACAACATGTAATTTTGGAAAGCATTGTCTGGGTTGACTGAAAACTGATATTTCATCGGTGCGTCCCCTCTTAAGCAGAAGATGATCTAGGAGACGGGGAAATGCAGGTGCTCCCATAGTAGTGTACTTTTTTTCGGCAGCAATGGCGACCACCCACCATGGAGTCCAACCAGGGGACGCTGAAGCACTTAATAGCATAAGGCTGCAGACGCCAGCCGTACATTGCCACTATAACCAAATATAACTACTCAAGGTTGAGTAACTACACAAGGTTAACCCTTGCCACCAGGAAAATTGGAAGTAAACAGAAGAGAGAAATAGACAGGACAGACTAAAAGTGAGAGATAAAGATGAAGTTGTAGGGGAGAGAGATAGGAAAAGGTGACTGCCAATTTCCCCTGGGTGGGTCAGCCCAGGGGTGCCGTCTACGTGAAGCTGGGGCTAAAGGGGTGTGTTGCCTCTGCCGGGGGGCCTTAAAGGTCCAATCACCAGGCGTCGGCTCAACCCCAGTATCCCCTTTTCCCCGGACACGGCTGAGCCACGTACGGCTAGGCGTGGGAGGGAGCCAAAACTCCCCCATTAGCTCGGGTCCGTGGTTGGCACTGAGGTTATGCAATGTGATAAATAATGCACATCTCAGAGTATTGTACTGGTTTGCATCTCAGGCATGAATCCCAAAGTGAAGATGTGCTAAAATTGCGCAATAAACGAAAACAGTGACAACCACAGATCGAAAGGAGACTTTCGTGTGGCTGCGACTCAGGCCAGCATGAAAAGGGCTTTCATTCTCGGTGTGAAAGTTTGTTTTTTATGAAAAGAGGTCTTCCATATAATAGGTACACTCAATAGCCGGCTGCTTCTGAGAACATGCTCATCCTCTTGACACAAGGCATTCAGCCCGCTCAAAAGTTCCTAATTCTTTTCAACGACGAAATCTACAATAGCATGGAAGCACACTGGTTGGCGCTGATTTGTAGGAATTCGTGGTACAGTAAATAATGCTTCTCATAATAACGTGATAATATGTCTTACCTCTGTTCCACTCTCTTGAGAGGAGCACAAATAAAACTGTTTAACAAATCGAATCTTTTAGTGTTACTCCAATTTCAAATTTTGGCATACAGATAAATAATGTTGTAAACCATGCCTAAACTCTTTTTTCATTAAGGAACAGAAACACAACAGAAAATCCTGCGCTGAGATAAAACTAAAACCATAACAAAAAACATTTCATTCCAACACCTTGTCCCTGACAGCACCGCCACACTTCAACAAGGAACTATAACAGCCGAATTGATAACAGTGTATTCTTTATCTGTTATTTGGTTTCTTATGGTCGCATCTGAAACAATGAACCACTCGACTGTTCCCTTGCCTTTTTTTTCAACAGTAACGTAAAAAATCAGATCACCCAGTTTGTGAACAGCATTGTGTGCCTAAGAAGCCAACAGAAATATAATAGTTCATTTAACCCTCGTCAAGAATGGTCATTTGTCTGTCCCAAAATCCCATGGTAGTTTCAGTAACATGCCCATGTTTTGGAGAAATGCAGATATATTAGGTCATAGCATTGCAAAAAAAAAAAGAAACCTCAAAATGCCAAACTGGCTATATCAGGGGTACGAAAGATGAAGCCGAGGAATGCACAGTATTGCAGTTTTTTTTTTTCATTCAAGGTATAAAGATTATGAAATAGAGGAAACAAAAGCGTAAAAGAAAAACCAAATTGTTGCCGGTAGAAACCAAATTTGAAAATTCCACGCTATACATGTGGTGCACAAAAGTTGTGGGTACTACCGCTTACTAGAAACAAATTGTTTTTATATCGAACTTCATTTTCTATTGTTGTATATACACTACACTTTGAGCAAAAAGTATAGATAAGTGTTAAAGACAAAAACACCTACCACAACCAATTTGCTTTCTTCTTGTGTGGTGTTTACAATATTGTCGAGCGTAGCTTGACTGGTAGCATGATTGAGTGTTCGCATACAACGCACAATAGGAGAAAAGAATGCGCAAACTGCTTTTTGGATCTCAAGAAATGAACTTACAGTTCTTACACTGTGTAGATTTAACGGTGTTTTCCAGTGCATGTCGAAACAAACATTTTTGCTTTCCTAGGTGCACATGTGTGCACGAAACAAAATTTGAAAAAAAATTCCGATAGAATAAATATTACCACTTGAAATGACTACAACACTTTTTACGACTCAGTTAATACAACGAGCTGTTGTGAGAAATGTGCAGTTGATAAGAGGCACAAACGAGGAGTGTCCACAAATGGCTCCAAGATAGGGTATTTCACAGTTCGCCTCTTAAAGGCTTGCTCTTCACTCTAGCAACAAAAGGGACTGCTTGCCACAGTTTCTAACAAACATTCCCCATCATGAACATCCCATTTCTAGCTTACAGAGGACAGTAATATATATGCAAGCTCCATTCACCACAATTCCTCAGTATCTACTTTGAAACACATCTTCAGCTGTCCCCTGTCTACCTTTGTTTCTCAACTAAACCTAACACTTTTTTTTTTCCATTTTTGCATTTATTTCTTTTTATTTCTATGACAAATTAGTCAATTCTATCCAGCCATGCAACCACTATGATGCCTTGTTTCCTTATTTTTTTACAACCCGTGCCTTGATATTTTGTTCATGTGCGCCAACTTTATGCAACATGAAAACCTCGAGGGTAATGAATATAAATGTTCAAGTGACTGCATGCCTTTGGAGAAAAAAGTTTACTTGGTGCTGCCACAATCTGCGAGATAACTGCTAAAAGAATGTTCAAGCATTCATTTGTAAGCAGCAGGATTGCACTGTTTAACACTGCCATGAGCAAACATTCACAAGTGTCCATAGGAAAGGTATGCTAGTGCAAATGCCCAGACATTTCATATAAGGCCCCACACAACCTAACACGGTGATGAGATGGTGATTTTTCAATGCTTCCAATATTGAACTGAATGATCACTACCTTTTCCAACAAATTAAAGATATTTACAAAGGAAAATGCTTCCTGGAATGATTGCGGGAAAAATAGAAGTCTACTGCACATCGCCTTGTAAGTAGCTGGTAACCAGTTCATACTGATCCAGCCTTAAAAATATAGTTTTTCATTCCTTCATGCTATTAAGTAGAATGAATCAAAATTGACTGAACTGTAAAAGAATGCACTATTCCTCCACTGTTTGCCACATCACACACACAAGTTATGAAACAGTACAAATTAAAACTGAACTTTCCTGCTGTGCGCTTTTTGAAATGTAAACAAATGCCTAATCTGTGACATCTATTGAAAAAGCTCAAATGACTAATACAGGACGAGGAAGCATAGAAAGCGTGATACAAAAAGAGCGCAATTCGTTGCAAGAAATTTATCTATGAGGTACCGTTCCAGATGTTCCTCATTGCCTAAACATATCAACAAACCTGGAAAAGTAAAGAGTGGGAAGAGCAGCAAACATAAACAGAGCACATGCCCCAACTCCCCCCACTACACTGTTTACACAATTAAGGTAAACAACAACCCAACAAATGATTAGGAAAGATGTCTAAAACATCTGTTGAATCACTTTTTTTCAACGGCTTCTTATGCAGACACTGCCTTGCACAAGCAGAAAGCTTCCAACTCGATTCTCGCAACTGTCAACATACATTTCGTAGCTTTGATATCCCACCTAACCAAAAAGTCCGTAAGACTGTCAAAGTAGAATACGACCGAACTCGTAGCCGGCGGCTATTTCGTTTGTCTTTCCTCGGCTCTCTGGAAAGCAGTGACCCAGTTTCTTCAAAACCCATGAAGCGTGTCGCCGAGTCAAAGCGAAAGGTGCAACACAACTGCGTGGACACATTCGCGCAAGCTGGGCGCACGCCCGGAGAGTTGTACGAGGACAGCGCGAGCTTTCGGTTTCATAACAGCGCACTCAAAGTGCCCTGTTGCGCGCCGCATCGGTTATCACACGATTCAAATGAAATGAACCAACGCACACGCCATGCCAGCACAGACACAACCTGCCCCTTTACGTCTGAAGCAGCTGGTCGCATATCGTTAGTGCCCGTGAGTGATCGAAGGAAGAACAATAACAGTACACGTATCATGTACAGACAAGCGGAGTTACTTTCGTGTGCCACGAGTTACTTTCGAATGGCGTAAGACAGAGGGGGGGGGGGGGGGGGCTAAGGCTTTCACAATTTCCGTATACTTCGACTAGTTTCGATTCAAAAGAATCAACAGTTTATAGCGTTCCTTTTTCGGCAACACCTATTATCTTCTCCGGCAGCATCGCGTTACTTCTCGCAAGGTTGCTATGTTATACAACAGAAACAGTGAATCTGCGAGGGCTGTTGTGAAACACTCCGAAACACTTCAGGAGTCACTCGCAAATGTGATTTGATTCCAATTCCTATTTTCCTGACGCGGCGAAGAGACGTCGCAGTGACACTGAACACAATTAGTTTCGTTCAGCTTTCGCACCACACTGCTCTCAGTGAATGCGCGAGCAGCAGCAACATTTTCATGCAAGCCTGTGGGCGATCACATTTGCAAGGGATATTGCGTACTCACTTGGAAAGGTGCTTGAGAATCTGATTCTTGATTATGGACACCATCGTATTGGCAGTAAGGTGACGCACACACGCCCCGTGACAATTTGTTTTTTTTTTCCTAATTTGCTTCTCACGAGCCTAGTCCTCGGTATATACAGCAGCAGCGGGTTCCAGCGGTGCCTTTCATAGCCGCCGCTGACGGCTGCTGAGAGCGACAGGCGGCGAGTGGTCACCGGTCGTCAACACCACCGCAATCCCGACATTGGTTTCGTCCACGACGTCGATGCAGTACGACGGCATCGTCGGGTCCGGTTGACGCCCGTGGTGGGATGGGCGCTCTCAGCTGATGGTTCTAAGGTCACTGCGCCGCAGCGACGACACGAACGCGATGGGACACCTCGCGCAACCACGAAGTGCCCGGAGTTTTGCGATGTGAGACACTCCGCAGAGCCATGTCGGCGCCAGGCTCGCCGAGTGCGCCTCACTGTAGGCAAGCGCTAGAAAGATAACCAAGGTAGCCGCAGCTGTTTGCCTCTTGATTCGCAATAGATGGATGAGCCGATGAACAATCACGGCAGCGTTAGAGGGGAAACAAACGCTGGAAGGAAACTGCTTTTCGCGGAAGCAACACGGCAAGGACCGATTTTCGCGCCATCTCTGAGCAGAGTTTATAAACAAATCTAGCGAAAGCGAGGCAAGCGATGGCGATTTGGTAGGGGGTGAATCAGCAGTGTGCATTTCGCGCGCATTATCATGATTTCTCTCTTATTACATGGTATGCTTATAATAACCACTCAGAGTGGGTGCAGCTAAACACGCCGCGCTTCCCCCGCTACATTTGCTTCCATCTAGGGTAAAGATGTTCTCTGGAAAAAAAAAAAAAAAATGGGTCTCTCTATTTTCTCTGCATTCGTTGTCATCGTCTCGTAAACCAGGAAAATGACATATCGACAAATCCAGGTGGCCGAATGCAATGTTTTTCAAGAAATTTAGATGACAAAGGAAAAGAATTCGTCATCCGGGAACTTTATTACGAGTATCGTTTCGGGGGAACAGTGGCCTTTTTGTGAGAAAAAGGCCTGTGTTCCGATCGGCACATCACAATCAATTTATAATATATATATATATATATATATATATATATATATATTGTAGGCATCTATTATGCGCTTCATCCTCATCTGAACAGCAGTCAACCATCATCATATGTTCTAGCTGACAATCATCTTCTTGGAACGTGCGCTTCTTTTTCGGGTCCGTTGCGCTTGTTCGTTCACGAGTTCACGACCAATAAACCTCGTTAGCACCGCGTCGTCATACGTGGTGGAGGTGGATTGACGTTCCCAGTACCTCTCCTTACAACGTTTACTCGCTGGAGCTCCGTTCAGGCCGCCGCTTGGACCCTCAGTCCGCCAACATGTCTCAGAGTGAGTGGGTGGATGCCCTTTCTGCTCCCGTCTCTGCGCCGCAAGCCCCTCCTCTTTACATCGTAAACCACCAGCGTGACCCTCCGATCTTCGCTGGTCTCCGCGGCGAAGATGTGGAGGACTGGCTCGATAACTACGAGCGAGTAAGCGCAACTAATCACTGGGACGACTCTAACAAGCTCCGCCAAGTATCACTTTATCTCACGGGCGTTGCCAAGACATGGTTCTTGAACTATGAGATCGACCTCACCGACTGGCCTGCCTTCAAGCAGCAGCTTCGCCAAGTATTCGGCACGCCAGCCGTTCGATCCGCTCTAGCGAGGAGGGCCCTAGATACTCGCTAACATCCCGGCGAGTCATACACATCTTACATCGAGGATGTCCTTGCGCTTTGCCGGCGCGTCAATTCTTCGATGTCCGAGTCGGACAAACTGCGCTACATCCTGAAGGGCATTGGAAGCATTGCCTACAATGCCCTTGTTGCCCAGAATCCTTCTACTGTCACTGACGTCGTCTCTACGTGTCAGCGTCTCGACGAACTTGATTCTGTTCGCCTTCAGTCGGGCAATAGTGAACACCGTACAGCAGACCGGGACCTGCGTGACATGATACGGGAGATCATACGAGAAGAACTTCAATCAATGGGCATCTCACAACCTTCTCCATCTGTCACACAGCCTTCAAGCATGGCCCTCCGTGACATCGTAAGGGAGGAACTAACATCATTCACCGGTCCAGCCTACGTACAGCCACCTCCGTGTAGCCCTCCAACGTAAGCGCAAGTTGCGGCCGCGCCTCCTCGCAACGTCACGGAGGAAAGAAAAAGGTAAGTAGAGGGCATACCCAGCCGGCGCAGGGCGTAAAAAATGTGGCGGAAATGACATCATGGCGGCCATATTCAGTAGGCACAATGGCGGCGTTGCTATGGTTACGTGTTGCGCAGTAAAGCTGGTCTAGCAGTGAGCGGCCGCGGCTGCCGGCGGAATGTGTGCCTCCCCAGGTCTCGTGTTGAGCCGTGGCGGACAATATCTGTGCTCTGCGCCGCGTTATTGGTTACGCAGTGTTCGTCTGGCTGTTACATTATTCTTAGCAACGTTTACAAATCTCTTTGTCAATCACGGGGTTTGAACAGTGCGTAGAACAAGTGCATATCCATGTGCCGTGCGGCGGATGACGCGGATGAAGCAGTTAGTGTTCAGCGAAATGGCGTTGGGCACCATGACGAAGCTGAATGACGACGAACGCCTTGCAGGTCAGTGACGGTTGAGCAGTGCTCCTTCTTGTGACAACGGACGACGCTGTTGAGCCCAGCAAGACGCCTTGAGGACCATGTGCACATACGTAGTTTCGTGTTGTGTGTGTACAGTAACAACTTGCATCTGCGTATTAAAACACCTTTTCTGTTCCGCTTGGTACACTCTCCACCAGCATTGCATGTAATCTCAACGTAACAGCAACCGCGTTCAACTGTCACTAGCACCGTGCTCAAAGTCACCACGGTCGCAGAATGCTGACGCAGGAGAGTTTCACGCGGAACACGGACACAGTGGCAGGACGCTGCGTCAGTCGCGTGGCGGAATGCAACCGTAGAAGGCGCACGACCAATCGTGTTGTCTGTACAGTTGCTGAATCACGTGAAAGCACTCGCCGTTGTCAGTGCATCTAGCGCGCGTTCTTTCGTAGTTGCTTCGTTGTCACTGAGCTGTTACTCTTTGTTATTACTCGGACGAAGCGATTTCGCTGAAGGTGTCCCGCTGGCTCTGAGTGATGAGCCCAGTTCCATTAGTTTCGGATCGTCACGACACACGCGCTGCGCAGCCCAGGTGCTTTTCGAGCCGGAGCGGGAGTCGCGCCTTCTGCTTCGCATTCACATGTAAACAAGAAAGGAGAATTTGCCTACTCAATATGGCCGACTTCCGGCTTCATCGCGGCTTCACAACGAGTGACGTCAGGGCCTCTCCATACCTTTTCCTTCCTCCGTGTCGCAACGTAAACTCTACTTCGCCGCTGCCATCATTCACGCCGGTTGCTGCTGCACCACCAGTCCACTTCCGGCCAATCCCACCCGACCCTCCGTCTGTCCACTTGAGTGCGCTATCTCCCGGTGCACCGAACGCCCTCTACTACCCGCCTTGGCACCCATCTCGCCCAACATGCTTTTACTGTGGATATCGTGGCCATATATCGCGCTTCTGCCGCAAGTGCCAGCAGGACGAGCGTCGCGGGTACCACATGCGCGAACGGGACTTTTCCAGTAGAAATTCTTACGCTCGGCGTTATTCATCTGGACAGCAGCGGTCTCCATCTCCGCTCGCGTCGACTGAGACGCGGAACACTACCGTTCAAGCCGACGCCGATCACCTTCGCCCTTCCATTCGCTCCTCCTCTCCTCTTCGGCCAGCCTCGTTTACGACTGACAAACAGTCGGAAAACTAAATGATGCAGTTTTCGGAGGAGAAACTGCATGTAACAGTAGGACTCATATTCCTCCAGCACGCCCGTTCAACATGGTTTCTGTTAAGGTGGAAAGAGTTCTCGTGGACGCTTTGGTGGACACCGGTGCTACAGTTTCTGTGATTAGGTATGATTTGTGCAAATGCCTGAAAAAAGTAATGACACCTTATAATGGGCCCAATCTAGTCGACGCCCAGGGGAACACTATCCACCCTTTTGCTCTTTGTACTGCTCGTGTGTTTATTGATGACATTTTGCATTACATCGAGTTCCCTGTGCTTACCCGGTGCTCTCACCAGCTAATTCTAGGGTGAAACTTCCTATCTTCTTCTTCAGCCGCTATATGTTGTGGTGAACGGATTCTGCACCTAACTAATACGGACTCCATGTTCGACGAAGGCGTCTACAAGCCACTACGCCTGTTCGCTCGCGAAGATCTCGAACTACCGCCACATCAAGAACGAATTGTGACCCTGATCTCTAAGGACATCGACCACGGTGACGTCTTGGTGTCCCCTTTGTCGACTTGCGTCGCAAAAGGCGTAGCCCTTGCATCAGGTGTCGTACGCTTTCACCATGGCTCCGCGCTCGTCATTGCTACGAATGAAACGCCAGAGAAAGTTCTCCTGCCAGAGGGCACTGCAGTAGCCTGTGTTGTGGATGCTGAGCCTGTCAGCGTCACGCCACTTAAACCTGCCTCTACAATGACCATTCTATGAGTAAGCCTGGCTCATCCTCTCCCTTCACAGCTCTTATCAGTGATGACTTAACAGCTATCCAGGCGCAGCAGTTGCTTGCGTTATTAATGAAACACGCCGATTCTTTCGACACCTGCTCCTCAACGTTGGGCCGAACTACCACTGCAGCGCATCGCATTCAGACGGAGGGAACATCTATTGTACATCGCCGCCCGTACCGCGTGTCTTTCGCTGAGCGAAAAATCATCGAGGAAAACGTCGCTGACATGCTCCAACGAGAAATAATTCGTCCATCAACTAGCCCTTGGTCATCCCCTGTTGTTTTGGTACGAAAAAAAGATGGCTCCGTGCGCTTTTGCGTTGATTACCGGGCACTTAACAACATCACACACAAGGACGTATACCCCATGCCACGCATCGACGACGCCCTTGATTCACTGCAAGGCGCCGAATACTTTTCAAGCCTTGATTTGCGTTCGGGATATTGGCAAATTCCCATGCATGATGACGACAAAGAAAAAAACGGCATTTGCAACCCCCGATGGCCTATACGAATTTAGCGTGATGCCTTTCGGGCTCTGCAATGCGCCCGCCACGTTTGAACGCATGATCGACACCGTCCTGCGTGGTCTGAAATAGAAGACGTGTCTCTGCTACCTTGATGACATTATCATCTTTTCATCAACGTTTTCTCAGCACCTGAGGCGCTTGTATGACGTCCTAACATGCCTCGCCGGTGCGGGTCTGCAGCTCAACACTAAGAAGTGCCGTTTCGCCACCAAATCTATCAAGGTTCTCGGTCATGTTGTCAGCAAGGACGGTATTCGCCCTGACCCCGAAAAGATCGCTGCCGTCCTTCGATTTCCATGCCCCACAAGACTTAAGGATTTGCGAAGTTTTCTTGGCCTCGCATCATATTTTCGTCGCTTCATACGAAATT